GAGAGGGAGAAAGAGAGAAAAAGAGAGTGAACAAAAAAGTGTAAGCGTGTGTAAGTTTTTTTGTGTGTGTGTGTGTGTGTGTGTGTGTGTGTGTGTGTGTGTGTGTGTGTATGTGTGTGGCAGACGAAGACACACCTTTAGTCCAAAATGAAGCTTACCTTTAGAAGTAAATGTGTGTACACAATGACCTAGTAGTTTAAAAATACACATACCCTAATTCCCGCATCGTTAGAACAATAATATTTGCAAACAAAGCAGAAAGAGGCTAAAACAGTTCTTTGACATAGATGGCTGGTGCCTCTATAAATAAATTGTTAGTGGTTTGATTCGTATTCTTGTTACACCCGAATCGTACGAGTTGCAGGACGATCACCTATCCAGGACAAAGACGAAAATATGGAAGTCCCGTGTCATCTATCCATCCATCCATCGATCCATCCCCGTACCTAATACATAGATATACGAACACGCACATGCACACGTACACGTACACGCAAACGCACACGCACACGCACGCATGCATGCACGTACACATGCACGCACACACACACGCACGCACGCACACAGGCATACAGACATATATTATACATACATACAGACATACAGTCCCACATTCAGACAGACAGACAGACACAAAGACATACAGACACACAGAAAGACACATCGGCAGTCATACTGAAAACACACACTTACAGACACACAGATACAGTAGATATACTAAAAGTGGGGTTTCGACATAACCATTTATTTTTGTTATAAGAAATGATTATACATGCAAATCATTTCAGACCACAATGTATATCGACTTTATATTACCAACTAAAAAAAACCTTTATTAAAGAAAACAAGTAAAGAAGTGAACTGCAACAGTGTACCAACGACATAAGGTCACCTTTTACAAGATGACGTCGACGAGTATTGCGCCTAATTTGATTAACAAAGAGAAAAAAAAAGGTCTTAATTGACCTATTAGCAATAAAGCCTCTTGGGGTCCACTAGCTTTTCCTGATTAGCGCTACATTTTAAAGGAAATCTCGTCATCTTTTCATTTTAGTTGGATTGCGTTTTTAGGGAGCTGAAAACAACATAAGGGCACACATAATAATATGAGTGTGGTACGTCATTTATACACATGAAAATAAATGATGGATCGTATTCTTTATAATGTCACCCCTGCAGGTGTGGG